CTCACCTCACCTCACCTCACCTCACCTCACCTCACCTCACCTCACCTCACCTCACCTCACTCCACTCCACTCCACTCCACTCCACTCCACTCCACTCCACTCCACTCCACTCCACTCCACTCCACTCCACTCACTCACTCACTCCACTTACTCACTCCACTCACTCACTCCACTCACTCACTCATACACACCTCCTCCCTCCCCTCCTTCTCATCCTCGTCCATCACATCATCACTTATACTACACGTCTTAGCACAACCGCCTCATATACCTTCTCTCCTCACACTTCGTTCTTGACTTTTCATCTCACTACTCCGTCTCCCATGTGATGTTCATATACAATTGAAATTTGTAAAACTTATCATGTGGGGTTATCCGGTCCTTTTATTTGTTTTTAGGGATCATTTTGTAGAAACTTTTCGGAGGCGCCATCTTGTAGAGCCGATAGCCGTTTTTTCTACAAAATGACCGTTTGAGGTGAAGCTCTCGAAGAAGAGAGTTGCCGCCCACCCTGGTGGCTACAGCCGGCTCAGCATACCCAGGGGTCCTGTCCTTCTGGACCTCGGGTGACGTGGCCGAGACTGGCTTGCAGATCATGTACTGCGGTGCACCCAACATGTGCTGCAGTACTCACAACATATGCTGTTGTCCTCACAACATGAGTTGTGGTGCCCGCAAAAGCGCAGCGTGAAAACACATACCTCATGTGTTCTGGTGCACACATTATGTGTTGTGGAGCACGCAACATATGTTTCTGCGGTACATACAGCGTGTCTTGCGCAAGCTGGGGGGAAAAACCAAAACAAATAACACATATGGTGACTGTGGTGACTGGTCTTTCGTTGTCGTTGTTGTTGCTGCTGCTGTTGCTGCTGGGCACCGTGGTGGTTTGGCAGCTGTTTGTCTTGCTCAAGCTGGTTGCTTCGCTTTTCGCTCACCCTGCTTTTTGTAGCAATGGTGCCTAGCGGAGACCTTCGCCTAAACACCCCGGCACACCAGGTGGTGAACCTTGCGTGCAGCTTGCTGGTCTGCCGCGCAGGCGTCGAGCAGGCGCGGGGCAAGAAGTATGGCGCGCTGTCAACTTCTTTCTCCGCCCTGCTGAACCTCCCGGTCAACTTTGAGTTCGGAGGAGGTCAGCAGAAGCGACCTTGGACGGTCAAGATGCTGCTACAGAAAATGAAGGTGTGTTTCTAGCCCCTCGCCTGCGTAAAATGTGTGTTTCTACCACTACCATTACTACTACGCTCCAGGTACGATGACATTCAGAATGCGGTGGCCCTCTTGGACTTCTTCTGCGCTGCAGGTGCTGGCGTATGCAGGATCTGTTTCGATTAATCACTGTTTTGCTGTTAATTAGATATGCAGGGGACCATCCATGTGCTGTGAGCGATGGTCCAACCAAGTGGCCACAGTACATGAGGATATCGCGGCTGATCACCGTGACGTACCTGCTTCAAGAAGATGAACCTACGTAAGTGCAAAGCTGTCTCATTCTTTGTTGAGCAGTAAGCGTCTAATGCAGCGGCAAGTCATCTCGGATTTTCGTGAGCTTGAGACTTGAACCTTTTTCGAGAGCTTTGGAGGCCTTTGCAGGTTTTATGGTCGCTTGCTTTACCCATACCCACCCTGGTTTCTTAGGTTTTCACTTAGGCCGGCGTGTGGCAAACCGCAGCCAAATCAGTACGCATAATCTCAAGTGTGTGTGGGGCTCTACTACTACTACTGCTACTGCTACTACTACTACTACCACCACTACTACTACTACTACTACTACTACCACCACCACTACCACTACCACTACCACCACCACCACCACCACTACTACTACTACGACTACTACCACTACTACTACTACTACTACTACTTCTTCTACTACTACTACTACTACTAGTGCTACTGCTACTGCTACTGCTACTGCTACTAGTAGTACCATTATTACCACTACTACTGGTATTACTATCTGCCACCTACTGGGGTGCCAGGCGGCGTCTGTGGATTTCCTATTCGGAACAGATATGAACAGATATGATTCTGACCCTACTGGCCGCATTTAAGTTTTTTGCCGGGGCTCTCAGTGGGCGAAAGGCTCGACTATGCGCACCTGTCGCATTTCCATTCAGCAAAAGACGCCTCACATGTTTTGCACGGCGTTAGTGTAGAATCTAGAATAGAAGGCGCGCACACACCCCGTTCACCTGACAAGAATCCTATGTTGGCACAGCGAATTGTTTCGCTAGAGTCGATGAAGTGGAGGGTTGCTGCCGCCAGTTTACTTTGCTAGCAAAACTGCGAGGAAGTGAGTCTACAGAGAGGTGCTGTTTCCAGAGTCAAAAGGAAGCGACGTTTGATTAGAGGCTCCTGTGTGAAGTCGGTAACATTTATGCCAAAAAGGAGCTCGCAACCAAAAAATTGGAAAACAGGTTAACCTTTTTTTCAAAGGAAACTGTGAGGAGCTAAGACTAAAGCTCACCACTTTCTACGCCACGCGAAGCAGGCGATGTGAAGGGCCTGAGCCGAAACGCCTACATCCACACGGGGCAGCAGAGCAAGGTGGCCGATCAGGTCATCTCTGGGCAGAAGCGGCTCAAACTGCGACCCGTACCTTAGATCTTGATCAGATCGTCGGCAGTCGAATGAGATTGATCCAGGGTGAATGGGGAGATTGGAAGCCCACACGATGTGCAGGTAGGGCCAGGGTGGGCAGGAGGCAGTATACCCTTTCAGTTCTTCTCCATGATTTCTCTTTGAAAAAATTGCAACCAAATTCCAGGCGACTTTGCTGGGTGGTCCCAGTGCTTTTGCAACCCTGAGATCACCTGTTTTCTGCTGATGAATGGACCTGGCTGGGAGGCAGGTTCATCAGAGCGGGATTCGGAAGTCTTCCTCTTTGGGCCAAGAATCCAAGAATGATCAACGTGTTACACGGCATGATCAAGTATTTCAAGCAGTATTTCAAACATTGCTGCCATGAATCACTACTCAGGATCCTAGGAACTCCTACGAACAGCCGTTGTTTTTGCAGGATCCTAGTTCACAAATTAGGGTCCATCAGTCTTGCAATACAATTGAAAGGCTAAGGATGCTAAGGGTTCCACTTATTCACCTTCACAGGAAATATGTTTTTCCTCACGACTTGGTATTCAGAAGACGTTCAACATTAGAGTCCCTTCCAATTTGTCCACAGTTTCGCTTCTGGTCCCTCCAAACCAACTGAACTTCGCGACAACTGCCTGCTCATTCTCTCGCCATTTCACCAGCAACCATCTCCTTGCCAGACCCCAGAAGCACCGGTCCTTTTTTGGTCCCCTCCCCCGCTTGGGTGTTTGTAAAATAACCCTCCGAAATAGTTTTCATATATATATATATATTATATATATATATATGTTTGCCTGATGGTTTTCCCTTCCAATTCATCCAGTTTTCCATCCATCCAATCCATCCGGTGCCCTCCATCCTCTTCTAGGACATGGACACGAGCTTTGCCCCGGTCGACGCACCCATGGAAGTGCTGATCTTGCAGGGCAGTGACATTGGAGAGCCCGTGGTGCAGCGTCTCGGTGAGTCCAACCAGGACGACCACCACGAGCTTCGCGCGTGCGTCGCGGAGGGGGTCGGAGGGGGTCCCGGCAGGCTACGGTCTCCCGGAAAGAATTCCCTTGGAAGGAGACCATCCTTGGACAAAAATCCTTTTGGAAGGAGTCCCTGGTTTCAGGTGTTTGTCAGACCGGTCTGGGGGTCCATCGTGATGGCACGAAAAACCGACCTTGGGGGAGCTGCCATCGAACCCCTCAACCAACTACAGAAAGGGCTGGAGAGTTGGAGAGAGTCCGGAGAGTTGCTTCCAAAAACACGGAAGGACTGGAGGGGTGGATAGGATTGGAGGCTTTGTGATTGAACATCCCCGTTTTAGTCTATCCACTACAGAATGGATGGCCATGTGGCTAGTAAAAATCTGGATTTTAGTTGATTTTGAGGGTACTTGGGAGGGGATGGGGCCTTTTATTTATACTGTTTGAATCGATTTCACTGCTTGAATCGATGAGTTCACTTCTGCAGTGCCGAAGAATCGGTAGGTAAGCTGTTCAGTCCAAGGGTCCGAGACTCACCGGGGTCTGAGTCAAGGATTCGATGCTTTGGGATTAATAGAGGGTTGACACTTGACATCTATCCTACAATAGACAGTAGCTGTGATTTGACACCTTATTGGCAGATCTTGGTGATGTTTTGAGAGACGGTGTTCAACAATCATCGCCATTTTGACCGGGGATTTTTCACCTACAGCCTCAGTGTCGCCCGGGCTTTGCTGAATCCAGATCACACGCCCGGGCTTCGCGAAAGAAGATCAGCAAGGTTCCTCAAGCATGGAAAGAAGATCAGCCCCACCTCTTCATACGGGATGCTGGTCCACAAACCAGTTCTGTGAAGTGAAGTAGAGCCTTTTGGTCAAAACGAAAGGGTGTTTGCCCCGGTGAAAACTGCTGGTTTTCAATGTGGAAGTTTTCCAACACAAGTTTTTCGTGGTGGGAAAAGAATGGCGTTCCCATTATGGGCACCTGGCAGCAAGGGAATTCATGCAGCATGATTGGGAGATTTGTGTAGAGTTCCAGCAGTCCAGAAGGCGAGGTACACTCTTGAACACTCCGAGGACGTGTTCTTTGCAAATGCACATCTACCCTGCTCGTGATAAATGAAGACTGGAAGACTATAAAACGATGCCACACATAAATACGAACCAGCACCTTCATGTCGGGGTCACCAATGGAAGCCCCAGCCCACTACTAAGGGACCTCCAGCCAGGACACCCCTTGAAGGTCCAGGAATGGATATGACAAGTCACGACACCTTGCACGTGCCTTTCCCTCAACCTGAAACCTCTCGCAGCCTGAAACCTCTCGCAGCCGACCCTTCCCAAACCGAACGTGAACACTCCCAGGCACGGGCCCTTCGTGGGTAATAGCCGGGAGGACATTGCCAAGGCCTTTAAGGACTACCAGGCGAAGACCGCCCCTTTCTTGGGGGGCCAGTTGACTGGGAGGGGCGGAGGGGCTTAGATGATTTGATATCCAAAGAAGATGATGAAGATGACTCGTCAATGACACCTGGTGCGGCCGATGGTTCTTGTTTGAAACTTGTCAATCTCAACATGGGGTGGCTTCGTTCTCTCCCTGTCGGTCCCAGTCGGTCGTTCGGTTCGGTAGTTCTGGACCCTCCACACCGGCCAGTGTTGAACACATCACCGTACCGATAGGAGGGTGTGTGGATCGCTAGGGTCTGTAATGAAGGTGCCCGCCCTTTCTTGGGCATCCTGGCATTTGACCTCCGATTCCCATGCTCCCCCAGCGAGATCGACGTCAGGAGAGCGAATTTGGTGGTTGGCCTTGGCCCTCCGACGCTCTGGCGCACGAGCGTTCACAGCAGCGCTTCGCGCTCTACTCCGATGGGCGGAAAGAGGAGAAGCCCATGCCGTAGCAGGCGATCGGCGTTGGGTGGAGGATGGTGGAGTAGGATGCACAGCCCGCACCCTCGAGGTCAAAGATAAATGATCAGAGATCATCCCCAAGCAGTATAGGTCCATTGGAGACACCCCACTGGGGGATGGTCCTGGTCTTCTCATCCCGGGCCCAAAAAGGGCCGCTTTTCAGCCCTCGCCCTGTCACCTCTCTATATTTTCTCGAGACTGTTTGTGTTTGTTTTCCAGTGGCAAAGGACATTGAGGCAGCTTTCACAGACACATAGCATGAATGCAGGCCACAGTGGGAAGTTTATAGCACATAGATGGAAGTCGGCAGCAAAAACACATAGAATACGCACTCTGGTGGTCCCCTGTTTTGATTAATAATGGGTAAATCATGATAACACCTCTAGCCTCTTTTTATGAGTTCATATGTTGTTTTTTTCTATTCTTCCCGGGTCTCTTAGCAGAAGTTTGGTGTTGCCCAGAAGTTGCCCAGAAGTTTGGTGTTGCGGCGTGAAACCGTTTTTCTTTAAACAATTGTTTTTTTGATTTATCAATCAACAAAAAGGTGTGAAACCTGTTACTCCCTGCCTTCAACCACGTTTAACCCATACATGTGCGATGTGAAAACACCTCTCTGTGCTGTTTTTCAGCCAACTGGGCTGACGGGCCTGGGGGAATACTGCCGGGTAATGACTCAAAATTGGGACGATATTCTGGGGCAGATCCACCAGGGCCCCTAGGGCCTAAGGAATGTCCATGGGGTCTTCATTAACCACCCCTTCAGGGGCCCTGGCATGGGTTGTTTGTTTTCTTTCCATGAGATTGATGTACGACAGACGTTTGTCTTTTCTGTTTAAGGGATATGGAAGGTGCGCTGAACGAACATCGAGAACGGGATTGAGCCATTTGTTGAAGTAGTAAGTGGTATATAACTTATATAACACCCTCCAACAGGTCACCACCTGCCACTTTTAGGTCTCCAAAAGCCACCAGAGGCGACCTGTTGGAGGGTGCTGGTATAATCATCCATAAACTGCTTTCTTTTTAGCATGAAGGGTCAGATTCGCATAGGATCTACATGCTTGGAGTCTCGGCCACGTCTCCAGTTCCTGCCAAAAACGTTATGTCAAGCACGTCTTGTGCGGAAGCAGATTCCTTCAAGCAACTTTGTTTCAGTAGTTGGACCACAACCTTGGGTGGTATTGTGGCTTTAAGAATTTGAGACCCAAAAGTAGCGCATTTTTTGAGATGATGGAAAGAAGATGATACTAGTGGGTTGGCGTAGGCTTGCGTAGGCTGTAGGCGGAGACGCTTACATAAGTTGTTTGGGTAGGGTTGTTGTGTTACGCTCTTTTGGGAGTGCATGTTCTGACCTTGTCCAAGCATGTCGGGTAGCTAGTGAGTTGGCCAGCTCTCTGTTGGTAGCTAGTGAGTAGAACATGAATGATGCACTAGGCCAGTCACGGGCCCATGGACCGCACACAGAGAGCAAGTTGAAAGCAGGTGCTGCGCACGCACATCCAGCACTTCTGGATTAGTTCACATGCGCGGAATTGAGACAATCCAATGTCATGGACGGTGCAGTGCAGCGCAGAATTCCAACTGATCAGCTGTTTCTTGACTTACAAACGGCTCTTTTTTGTGCCTTGCCCAGCGCGGTGGCCTCGTGTAGGCCCCATGTAGGCCTGTGCGCAGGAACGGGAGTTCATGTTCAACCAGCAGCCCACTCCCCCACCCTGGTTAAGGCTCAAGTGCCTTGGTGGTGTGATTGGCAGCTAACAGTGGGCTGTCACTACTGGCTGGTCAACGGTTTCCATTGCCTATAAGCCTATAGGCTATAGGACTTAAGTTTCAACTTCGTGCTCATCGTCACTCTCATGGAACACTTCAAGAAACAAAGGTAATGGGACAGTAGGCATTTGCTAACCTCTTGCCATTTCATTTGCTCGCGTAGGCATCCCGGACTTAGATAAACACTCCCGCGCATGCAGCCTTCTGCGTGGCGTAGGCTATGCGTAGGCTGGTGCGTAGGAGCCCGTGTGTGCATAAGCTCCAAGCACCAAAGCAGGACATTACTCAACATCATCAGCACATGTTTTCATGATTTTTTGATACCTAGCTTCTCCTATGACATGAGAGGGGGTCACCCAACCTGGGGAGATTTGGGGAATATTTTTGGGTCTGTCAGTTGGACTTCGGTGATCTTTAGCTTGGATTTTAGTGGATTTCGAAGGGTCTTTGGTTGACCTGCGGTTGGACTTTGTTGGACTTGGAGGTGACGTTTCAGGCGGGTTGTGTTTGTTTTTGTGGCAGTAGTCAATTTGGGATAGAAGTTGCAGACACGAACAGGGCAGACTTTTCGACGTGTAGACGATGGCCTACCAGCACCACGGAATTCGGGTGTTTTATTTATATCTTTGACTATTTATTATTGCCCTTCCAATAAGAACCTTTTCTGTGGTGCTGGTAAAGATAATTTATGTAGTTTGTGTTTCAGTACTTGGATGGAGAGATGTCAGAGTGTGCCAATGCTTTTTGGAGTGTGGCATGAGCACTTTTTTGTCCAAAACTTTGGGTGATTCCATCTCGTGCAGGTGGGCCAGATGAGTTCCTGTGAGCGTCATGTGTATCATTAGGATTAAATGAAAATGTGTCTCATGTGGCTGTGGCCCCAAACTGTCAACGCCAAGCATGTCGGTCGACCAAACTCCTGTTGTTTTTCATGAGGAGGAGATGCCCAGATTTTGAGGGCGATTTTCGAGCCCGGCAGGATGGGACGCCAGGACTCCCAAGTCAACGCCGAAGGCGTCGATTGAATGGAATGGTTTTCCGCAGGAACCAAAAAAGCTGGAGTGTCAGCAACAGCACGTCCATGAACCAATTCGATTTTGGCTCAAATCCTTTGGCTGAAGGTCCATGTAGAGAGGAGGTTACCCTTGCGCACGGGCTGTTGTGGTGTTCAGCACCCACACACAAGACAACTCGGGTTTGCAAAGACATGTAAAACTGTCTCATTCACCTTTCGAGTGCTACATGAGGAAAGAATATCTCAAGATATCTCAAGTCTTTGTCGCTGGGGCGAGGGTGAGCTGACTTCTTAATGCAGATTTGCTTGCAACCTTCGGGATACCTTCGGGTGCGGCGTGACTTTGTTGGACATGGTTTGGATCCCTTCCGCATACTTCCGCACCCTCCGTGCCATCCGCCGTCTGGCTAACAGCTTCGGCAGCTTGCAGCTTGCGCGTTCGACAGAAGCCCAACAAAGAGACCCCTGTCACCTGTCAAGCCCTGGACGTGGCGATCCCGGATCTTCTTTGCCGGATCTTCTTTGTGACAAACTCTGACAAACCCACAATTGAACTTAGAGAACCAAACCCTCTGAAGTCGATTTCGGGCTGGGAGGAACTACCAGTCGGCTCATTCTTGGTGTCATGGATCATGGATTGGTGGAGCCTTTACATGGATTGGGCCCCGATCTTCGCAGACCTCGGTCTTCGAAGACGTCCCCCCCCCCCTTCAGCGCCGGGTGCCCTGCACAGCTTTGGTCGGCAGGTTGGACCGTCGAGAACCTGTGACAGATCTCAAAAAGTTGAATCGTTTAGACATGTTTAGAATGCTCCATCGATCTCTTAAGGAGTTCTTGAATGCCGAGATCAGCTCAGATAAGAGGTTGAGCACCACAATCATCAGGGATGCCTGGATCATTGGAAATCATTGGACGTCGTCTTTGTAGGTGTGTTGCTATGGGTTTGCCAGCACATTCCATCGCTTTCCAATTCGATGGTAGGCGCAAGCACAGCCCCTTCTTCGACATCCCCCAAATTCCCCAAACACATTGGAAGGAGGGGATTTCTCAAAACAAGCGTTCTTTTTTTCAACCTCGATTTGCTCATGGCGCAGCTGCCACTAGTGCAGGCACCGCACTGCAGCGCCCGAAGACGACCGAAACCTGAAAACCGATAGGGGCCCACCCAAATTATAAAAGTCCTTTGCAGGTAATAAGTAATATTGTCCGACACTCGTATATGATGTTAATATTATAGGTATATCATGGGGTTTACAAGGAAATTACTATCTAGAGACACATAGACTTCATGTTGAACTGGATTTCTATTTCTAGCCAGGCACCACGTGGACGCGGCTGTTCGGAACGCTGCAGGCAGATGTCCATGAGCTCCGCGACTGGCTTGAGCCCAGTGATATCCAAGAGGTGTCGAGGGTGTTGAGTCTCTGCAACTTTCGTTCGAAGGCTTCGAGTCATGTTTTACTTTGTGGAAAGTTGTTGGTCTCTTGTGCTGAGAAAAAGAATCACTCGAAGGTCAACTATATTTAGCTACATGTTTGCATCAACCAAATTTTGCAGCATATTCTTACATCAACTACTGTATATGTTCTTAGGTGGTTTCTTTGGGCACCCTCGCTGACCGCCAGTTGATCGAGCAGCAGCCACGCTTCGTGCGTTTGGGGCGCCCAGAAACGAAACACAAACGCTTTCAACAACAGGCAGTGGTTGGAACTGAATTGGTTTAAGGGAAAAGTTGAAGCAAGCGTTTGTGAGATTCTAGGGTAATTCGTTTTGATTAAGCAAGCATTTTTCTAAAAAACACAGACAGAGATTTGATGAACACTGTGAAAAGTAGGGGACATGCAGGAAAACGGGTCGATTTTTCCCTTGAACCAATCGATGGTTGATGGTTGGAAGGAATTGCTTGGTCTTCTCACCCTACTCCAATCATCTCCAATCAGAGGTGGTCAATTTATGGTTCCAACTGATTGTTAGAGGACAAGTTTCTAAATGGATCTAAATGGCAGGTGTATATATAGCGACATATAGTATTTTATACATTAATTATAAGTGCAAATGATGGGGGTCAATTGAGCTTTCCGTGGGCCTTATTGATCTCAACTGCTTCGAAACTGAACAATCTCCGGACCCCGCGAGCTCGCTCCGATGCTCGGCTCGCGGAACCGACGTCCGGTTCCACCGGGGGGTAGGAACACGGCAACACTTCCTTTGCGGATGAGGAGAGGATCTGTCAGGTGCAGAATGACATTCTTAATATGAACTATCCAGGACCCCCAACGGGGTGGTTAATGGACAGCCCTTAACCTCTAAGGGGCTATTAATGGACACCCTTTCCGTGGTGCTGGATATTATTGTATAATATTATAGAGCTGCGCCACCGGACACGGGGTCACCTGGCTGGACATCTCCACACGTCACGGAGGTAAACAGGTCTCCAGGTCTCCGGGCACCCCGTTAAAGGAAGCGCTAGGTAACTAGGTATGGTTATTTTGTTGTTTTTCATTTGGGACATGTGACATGTTGAACATCTCAAAGTGACCAAGAGCGAGACTCGTTTTTGTTGGGGGGTCTGACCTTGGCCGAGGCCCACATCTCGGCAGCCTATGGAGGACGGTTCCGCCTCGTTTGCGCTGAACGAGGGGGGGAACTCCTCCTGCTCGAGCCATCAGATCCATTAGCCTTGTACTGGCATTGGTTGATGAATCGAGGGGGTACACACCAAGTGAACAACCATGACCGGTCAATGGTAGCTGTCACCGCCCCCTGTAGTCTTCGCCAGAGTCGGACATCACCGGATGATCGAGTGTTCTTCGAGGCGATTGAAGGTCCCACTGGGACGAGGAGGGGTCCGGTGCATGTTCCTGATGTGGAAGATTCTGTGCTACAGAGTGAAGAGCTTATAGAAGTCGAGCTTGGCGCGGCCGAGGTGCTGCAAGACAAGGTTTGCTGGTATTCAGCCATGCTGGTAGAAATCCTAGACCATTTCCGATTGACATTCTGGAACCCATCACTGTATCGCTCTCGTGTTTTTTCGGGTTTCATCCTGTATCGCTCTCTTGCAAGACTTGCAACCTCCGGTAAGGCCCTTCGAACCCATCACTCGGTTCCGGTGCCCGCACGGGGCGCGCAGGACCTTGGCCATGACGGTTCTTCCGGCCTTGTACCTCCCCACTTCGGGTCTGGTGTGTCACCGCTTCGGGGGGCGGAGCGCTTGGGGGTCGCTGAGCAGCTTCGCGCATGAACGAACGGCCTCCGAATCCGTGAACAGCTTGGCGAGTCCTTTAAAAAACGGCCTGAGCTCCGAGGTTTTTGGGTGGGACTTGGCACGACACGCGCCTGGCGACGAGTCATTGGGAGGGTTTTGGGCTGAACTGTGCGGATCAGATTGAGTTGGTTGGTTTTGCTTTTGTTTGGATCGGGTGATGGGTGCGCGTGTGTTTTGAAATCTGAGAGAGACTCTCTCGGAGAGCCCCCCCAAGAAATGGATAGACTGGTCTACTCCCTTCTTCCAGGGGGTCGAAATACGCACCCGCGACCCCCAGGGCACCAGCGAGCGTCTTGCTGCTTCGATCAACGGTGCCAAGGTACTTCCTAGGCCGCGTGCTTCTTCGAGCACATCGACAGGTCGAGGTGCCGGACCTGTCGAGGTGAACTCGTTGACCCAGGTGGACGTGGTTTGGGCTGAGCCATCACCACCAAGAGAGATTGACAAACCAGAACTAGGACCCTGGTCCGTGGATGTCTGTGGTATATATGGGATGAGGAAAAAAGGGCGGTGAAAAACCTCTCTTGGCAGGCTGAGCCCTTCAAGGAGTCACCGTTCCAGGTCTCCGGAGCTCGTGAGCCGCCTTTTGGCCGACGTCCGATCCGACACGCCTTGGGGGCACCTTCCCAGCGGAAAGCCGACCTCGAACCTCAGGTGTCTTAGGTGTCTGAGTGACCTGGTCAAAGATGCGAGGAACGAGGGATTCCGAATCACTGAAGATGTAAATGGAAGAACAGCAATGATGAATACAACATCTCGAGATCTATATCGATAGTAAAAGCAATCTCGAACGATTTAGCATAAGCCAGAAAGCAAGGCAAAAAGCATAAGCCAAAAAGCAAGCCAACGCTTTTGGTGCATTGGTTCCATCCCATTTTCTTTGGGACGTCGTTCCACCGCGGAGCTCGCTCCGCACCAAACGGCTTCGCCTCCTCGCCAGGGACCTCGACTTTCGGGGCTCAGCACCGTCCATCCTGGCACGCTTGGGGAGGAATCACAGAGGAAGCCGGGTGAAATACACCAGAAATGAGAAGTTGACCCACAGAACCTCAAAAGGTATAGGGTTTAGGGTCTATAGAGCACAATGCAGCCTCTAAGACCTGAACCTCTTGGTTTTCTTTTTGACCCCTTGCATAACATAACAGTGAACAGATTTATGTGATAGACTAGGGGCACCAGGTGTATGCTTTGTAAGGTTTGGACATGCTTTGGGACAGATTGCCCTCTTTGTATTTGTCCATGTTTGTTTTCAAGAAGAGGTGCCAAGTTAAGGAATGTCACACTGTAGGGACATTTCGTGAACATCATTCGCACGGGGACCTTTGGTAGACAAACACTCCCTGAAGTAGTCATGGAAGTGAGTGGAACACCACCCTGTTCGTAGAGCAAAACGGGTATCCCAACGAAACGTGTTCGTGCTTTATGCAGGTGTCGAGTTGGAGCTGCCAATGCTTGTAAAATGCGCTGCAACGCTGCCCAGTTTGGGTTGACGTGTTTTGCGCCCGTCGGGCGCAGGCAGCAAACAGGTTTCGTGAATGTCACGAAAGGTAGCCCTTTAGGGGATACCTTGAGTTTGTCTTGCGAAGCAAGTGTTGGGACGTCCGGGTCTAATAATTGATCGCTCAATTCAGACCCCCCCCCCCTCTAGAATCAATTCTCTCCTGGAGAACGTCTTCGTGAGCCTCTCATGATTTCAGGATAGTTGAAACCCTCTTGAACATTCAGAAAGAGTGAATATGAAATTCTAATCACGAAAGGTGTT